CAGAACAGTCAAACTGACAGAATACATTGCTGAGGGGAGCAGGGGGTGAGGCAGGAGAGGTCTGCCCCGCCATGCGGTACTCTTGCAGGCCGGCCGGGATCAAATCGGCACTACAGAGACTGTGGACAGCTTCACAGTGTGGCGCTCTACCACCTGCGCTACCTGGGGAGGCCCGAGGCAGGATTTTTGGGGAGAATGTGCTGATATGAACTAACTGATAGGTTAGTGGAAATGACCTGGATATTTTAATTGAAAAAGGAATAATTAAGGACATGCTGTCATCAAGGGCCTGGGATTCTTCTGAGTGATGTAAAACTCAAATGTCTCATGAAACAATACACAAGACAAATCTCTGCCCCTGGCCCTGATCAAATATTGGGCCTTCTTCTCCTCACAGTGTAAGACAGTGTCCTGCACTCAGAGGGTGATGAGATCATATCACCCCGAAGCTCGTTTCCAGTAATAGACACAGTCTCAGCCGCGTCACTTGTTGAGAGAAAGATCAGTCTCACCAGAAATTGCCTGGAAACTCCTTGACTGCTCGCCTGATGCTGCAGCCTGCTGGCGACTGACATGCCTGGCACCCCTTTCCTTAGAGCTGCCCCCGTGCTGGTGAGAGACTGGCTCCCTGTGAGATGGGCCCTGTGTCTGCTCCAGGTCTCCACTCCCTGCCCCCGACCCCCGCCGTCCCCTCCTGAGCCCTCCCGACCGCCCAGAGCAGGAGAGGACATTTGGGGTCTTTAGGGAACAGGCTCCTCTGAGCACGGGACCCCCTGCGGCCCGGAGCCAGGCCAGGCTCTTCGCAGCCCCTTCCCAGCCAGAAGCGTCACTTGACTTACCCTGTGAGTTTCCCCCCATTGCTGTGCACGTCACTGACTGTTGTGACTGTTTCACATTCTAGACACACTCCCTGTGCTCTGCGCCCACATCACAGGCATGAGCATCGATGGTTACATACACTGTTGTTGGGCCCCCACCCCCCCATTGATCTTGGGATGTTGTCTGGTGCCCACAAGTTTCTGCTGATTATTGAGCTACTGTGGGTCAGGCAGGAGCCTCTCGTCAGGACAAAGTTTTGGTTTGAGCACACCTGCTGGGAACACAGGCAGACATTGGTGCCAGAGCAGCTTCACCTGCGACCACCTTGACAGGAAGGAAGTGGTGACAGGGCTAGACAGGGGATGTCCTGAGGGCAGAGACACGGAGCCTCTGCAGCAGCTCCTATTCCCTCCCCCAACTTGTGCCAGATATTTAGCACCCCCAGCCTCACCCCACTATGCACCCCACACTTTCCTCCACGGACTCGCCCACCTTGCCTGAGTGTGACCCCCAAATACAAATGAGACCTTGCCGTGGGGAGCGGTCATGTCCAGACACGTGGCCCTCTAGGTGCCTCTCTCTGCTTGCACTTGGAGTCATTTTTACGCTGCCCCGGGCTGCCCCCAAGGTTGCCACCCATGCGAGGTGACACTGTACATGAAATTCCTCTAATATGACAAATATGTTCAAGGAAAAATCTTCTAAATACCTTAAGTTAGAGGAAAACATATTTTCTCACATTGCAAGTCACCTCAGCATAATACGGCATTGAGAAATTGAACACATTGTGTAACTTTAGCATTAGTCTTCACTATTTATAAAATGAATAGTTTATGATACTTTCTCAAGTCTAAAATAAAGCATGAGATCTAAAGTCATTCAGGTCTGAGTGGATTCTCCCCTGCAAATGGCTGGGGGCAGACACCTGCAGTCTAGTGGAAGTTCCCGCTGCCATGTCAAGTCTCTCTTCTGAGGTTGTCTCCATGGCATGGACAGAGGGCGTCACAGCCTCTCACTCCATGGTCAGGGCTCATGCGGATGCCTCTGAGCACTTACAGGATGTTCCACCCCATCCTGATGCTGCCTCATGGACAGGGCAGGGCCCTTTTTCAGTTCACTGTCTTAATTGGTATTGTCATGTCACAATGTCAGTGAGCAATTGGTGCCCTGAGTGTGTCAGGGGCTATTTTGTGTGTCGTTTGACCCTGTAGGAAAGGCTTGTATTAATCTTCATCAAAGGTATCTTTCATCATCACTGACCAGCCTCAGGGTCCCCAGGTGTGGCCCTGTCATCAAAGCCATGATGAGCACATCCAAGGGGCACTGAAAAGTCACCATCACCCACATGTGCCCTTCATGGGGGGACCTGGGAGGTGGGTGGATGATGAGGGTGAGGAAGGGAAATAAAGGTTGGAAGGAGGCTGGGCTGAGACTCTACCTACACAATGTCCTCCATCATTTCCAGGTCGTTTAAGTAAATCTCTCAATGATGTTGTGGTGACGGAAGAGTTACTGTGACTGTTTTCTATAGTTGGGCAGGAAGATTAAAATGGCTTCTCCAGTGAAGTGAGAAATGACTGTGTTACCATCCATCACTGAAAGGCTAATTTATCTTCCAACTTGGGCTCTGGAAGCCTGGTTAGGTCCCCATTTTGCAGCCATCTCAGGCTGCGCGGGTCATGGTAGTTTCTCACACATGAAGATGCTTTTGTGGCCTTGGTAGAGTTTTCAGGCCTGTAACACTGACCCAGGGTTGACCGGCTCTCCCGCAGCATTTCTCTGGCGTCTCCCACCTTCTGGGCCTCAGATGATGGTGCCCTCATCCCCCCTTGCCCCTTGGCACACAGTCCCCATCACCCAGGCATCTGCCCGTGTTCTGGCCCTGGGGCCACATCACAGACACCTGGGCAAGACCCAGGGCAGGGGCCTGTTTCGGGGATGGCATCTCTGAGGCTCAAACACTCCCTGGGGGTGTTGGGCCCCTTGTCAATGCACCCTCGGTGCCCTTCTCCTTGGAGAGTGTCCTCACAACACTCTGGGGTGGGAGTCATGGCAGACCACGTGCACCTGTGGTCACAGCAGCACCGTCCACTGTCGCCGGTCCTGGCCCAACCCAAGTGCTGGTCACAGGGCAGTGAATACATAATGTGGGTCCACACACAGCTGTGAAAGGATGAAATCATGTCATTTTCGACAGCATGGCTGGATCCTGAGGTGATTTTTTTAAAAATATTCATTTATTTATTTATTTATACAAGCACTGGGTACAGTCAGAAGCGTGGGAGGATGAGAGAATTCACCAGAGCCAGAGCGGGGAGCAGAGCAGGCAAAAGGACCGAAGTACACTGCTGAGGAGAGCAGCGGGCGGCAGGAGAGGTCTGTGCACAATGTGGGACCCTCGCCTGCAGCTGGGGATCCAACAGGCGCTGCAGAGGCTGCGAGCAGCTATGCAGCCCAGCGCTCAACTGTTACACCACCAGGGGAGGCGTCTGAGGTGATTTTCTGAAGTGAAATGAGTCAGAGAGTCAGAGACAGATGCGGATGGTCTCACTCATCTGTGGAACAGAAATACAGAGAAGCTACATCACAAATGCAGCAAAAGCAGATGTCAGGCTTAGTGAAAAAAATGTGCTGTTACTTGAGGGAACAGAGAGAAGCAAGGGGTAGGGCAGGGAAGAAGAGGAGGCACTAACGGGGTGTTGTGTGGACTGCGGGGGACACTGTGCCCACAGAGTGGGAAATTAACCCCAACATTAAATCAACCAAAACACGTGAATCAAGCATTTCTGGGATGGTGGCAAGTTGTAAACTCACATAACCTCACATGATGTCACTGATGAAATGAACTCTCTGGCTCAACAGAGATGTAGAAGTTTGGTCCAAAGGAAAATAGAAAATATTTAAGAAATCCGACCAGGGCCTGATGTAAGTATCCCAAGGAATAGAAATCATTACTCAAAGACAGTCGTTGAAATGATAATAATTTGAGAGATTTTCTAACACATTTTTATTCTGAACTTTCAATTTACTCAAGTCCTGTGGTTTACAAACATTTTTTAAGAAAAGTTTTCATGGACTTAGCATGTCATGATCAGTAGGAAGTGCAGGGGACACTGTGACCTGCTCCCTGAGAAATCCTTCAGGGAAGAACATCACCCCCAGCTCATGTTCTCAGTGTGGGTAAGCAGTCATGAGAGCCTGGTGTCTACTGCACAGAAGCTATTGGAGAATAGCAATTGACATATTGACAATTGACATATAACAATTGACATATTGACAATTGATGCTGACCTTTTCATAGCATTCTTTAAAAGACATAATAAATAGCAGGTCCCAAAGTAGAAGGAAAGTAAATGTTATCTACTGAGAGCTGACAAGAAGTCCTGCTGTAAGATTAAAAGAACAATTGGGTGGGAAAATTAAGGAAACCTAAAAGTAAACACATAGAGAAATTTATAAAAAAATAGATTTTAAAAATAGGAATGTAGTTTCTCAATAAAATTCATACACTTTATACTTCTATTATAAGACATTAGTGTAATCCTGTTAGAATCGAATCAGACATCATAGAAATTGATATTCACATCAGTTCTACGATTAAGCGTAGACTCCATGGTCTTCATGCTGGGAGGGGCCATGGCGGTGGCCATGGTCTATGGATGGTTGTGCGTGGCATGCGGTTCCTGGCTGGATGTCACGCCCCCAAGGATGCTTCCATCCTGACATCCCTGGCAGATTCAGGAGTAGATCTCCTTATGTTTTGCACAGAAACATCTATGTATCTTATACGAAGATGCCCCATTATTATAGTGAGGGGTGGAGATCCCCACTCAATGTCTCCCCTCCCTTCCACAAGGATGAGGGTCCTCAGTAAAGACACAGGCTGTCGGGACCGAGTGCCCAGGCTGGGGTCCCGTGACCATGTGCTTGCGAGGACAAACCCCCATTACCACTGCTTCATGTCATGTAAATGTTGCAGTGTGAGTTCTAGAACATTCTTTCTACAGCAAATTCATATTTTTAACCATGAGCTGGATTCATTTTATAAATATCACACAGGAAGTGGTTGACAAGGATTACACTAATTTAGGAAAAAGGAGCTTAGGAAAAATATGAGAATACAAATTTCTGGAAAAGTAATTCTAATGCAAGAAGTCTGGACTTTATAAATGATGACATGGAAGAGTTAGAGGGGAGAAATTAAATAAATGAGGGGTTATAATTGTGGATTGTGGTATCTTACTTTTTGTAGTATTGGCCTTTTATCAGTCTCCCCACAGCCGTCTTCAAGGCTTGGTTCCTCAGACTGTATATGACAGGATTAAAGGTGGGGGGCACCACCGTGTAGAACATAGAAATTACCAGGTCAGACGTGGACGGAGTCCCTGAGGTTGGCTTCAGATAAGCAAAACATCCAGTGGAGAGAAACAGCACCACAACCAGCAGGTGGGGAAGGCAGGTGGAGTAGACTTTGGCCTTACCTTCTGTGGATGGGATCTTCCTGACAGCAGAGAAGATGTGGACGTAGGAAATGATGATGAAAATAAAATAGCAGATACTCAACACAGCACTAATGAGAATGGGGACAAGTTTGTTCATTACATTTTCTGAGCAGAAAATAGCCAATAACTGGGGGATGTCACAGAAGAACTGGTGGACCACGTTAGACCCACAGTGGGACAAGGAGAAGGTTCCAGCTGTATTCATCACAGAGATGATGCCCCCACCCAGCCAGGACACAGCTGTCAGCTGCACACACCTGTCCCTGCTCATGATGACATCATAGTGCAGGGGGTGGCAGATGGCAGCATAGCGGTCAAGGCTCATCACAGTAAGCAGGTGCATCTCTGTACCTGCTGACATAACCATCATGAACACCTGGACAACACAGCCCGGGAACGAGATGGAGCTGCTGTGCCTCAGAGAGTTGGCAATGGACTTGGGGACCGTGACTGAGATAAGGCAGAGATCTGTGAATGACAGATTCCTCAGGAAGAAGTACATGGGGGTGTGGAGGTGCTGGTCCAGGGTGGTGATGAGGACGATGAGCCCGTTCCCAAGCAGGGCGCACAGGTAGACGAGGAAGAAGAGCAGTGGGTGCAAGAAGCCCATGGTCCCATGGGTGGGGAACCCCAGGAGGACAAATTCTGTCATGACAGTGAGATTGGTCACCCCTGGAGCCATCATCTGCATAGAAAATGAAAGTGGAACAAACCCTCAATCTTCCAATATTGAAAATATAATGGTATATCAATATAAATTAATAATTGAATATATTTTCTATGTAATTATTCCTTCTAGGTCCTATGGATTCTAATATCTGTGTATACTATTTTTCAACCTATTTATTTCCTTCTAATGTGAGTGTGCCATTATTATAAGGTCCAAATATGTACGCCAGATCAGTGAGAGACTCAAATTTCAACTGTCCCTTTCAAAACTTGAACAAATTAGAATCTCTTATCTGTAAAAAACCTCAACAGAGCTCCCACACTACGTTCCGTGCCCCACTTCCGCCCCAGTCCTGCTTCTGTTCCTGCCCCGGCCCCTGGGCATCTCAGCCCAGCACACCTCCCAGAGTTTGTCCAGAGCACCTCCCAGAGGTTGCTCCTCCAGCACAGCCCTGATCTGGTGAGGCCCCACAGTGACAGGTGTACAGGAGATGGGGTGTGTGGGTCCCTGTTTTCCTGTTCCCCAGGACCCGACACTGTCCTGGAACTGAATGATCTGGGCTCAGGTTCCCCGTGCGGCATGTCCTGACACCTCCTCTGTCAGATTCCTGCCCCTGTGGCCTCACTGCTGACTTCTGGTCCCGTCTCCTCGTCTCCTCATCTCCCTGCCCCTGACCACCCCCATATCTGAGGACTCAGAGACCACGTTTTCCGCAGAGTCTCCTCCTGGGTCACACCCACACATCCTTCCTGCAGGATGGGATCGTCCACGCCCGGGTCTCTCCCCGGCCCCTCCGTCCCCCTCAGACTCATGCACATCTCTGCAGGGAGGAGGCCGCTCCAGGGCTGAGCCAGATGGTCTGTGCATGTGGCTGTCCCTGCGGGTCAAGGGACCCGGGTCCCCCGTGTGCAGGTTTGTTTCTCATCCCAGGCCCGTGCGTGAGTGGGGATGTCTGGACACGGGGCAGCCCTGCCCTCTCGCCTCCCTCTCCCCAATCTCATCCTCTCCCCGCTCTGTGGGGTGACGGAGGGACAGGTCCTGATGAGACAGGATTTTTCAGGAGAATACAGGATATAACTTTGTGGATATACATTAGTAAAAACAATTCAAAATTGTTTAATAACTGTACAATAAGGACACAGTTTGGTCTAGTTGTAGAAATCTTTTGATTACTTTAAATATAATGATGAAATATGTTTTGCTTAAATCTCTTCCTAACTTTTTTAAAAAAAACGTTACTTTTTCATTTTACAATATCACTAATAGTCCTGAGTGATGAGTTGGAAAAAAAAACCCAAGCTAATGTCCATAAAGTCAGATGTCCCTGCCACCCTCACTTTATTTTCAGAGCCATGAAACTCTCCCCAATTTTGCTGTAAAAAGTTATTGAATTTCAGGGCCTCCCTGGTGGCACAAGGGGTTAGACACCACATTGTGAAGCAATCCACAGCCTCTGCAGCACAAGTTCGATCCCCGGCCAGCCAGGGATCAAACTACATGGCAGGGCAGACCTCTCCTGTCATGCCCGCTGCCCCCTCAGCAGTGTACTTCAGTCTGCCTGTTCTGTTCCCTGCTCTGTCTCTGGTGAATCCTCTCACCCTCCCGTTCCTCTGGCCTGTGCCCCAGCTCTTGTATGCATAAATAAATAAATCTTTAAAAAAAAAGTTACTGAATTTCTACTAGACTCTTATATGTTATAATATTTAGGGACAAAAAGACATAATATCCTGATTTTTAACAATAAGTATTTTTAATTTAATCTTTAGTTTAGTATCCATCACATTAATCACATCAAGTGTTTTGATTATATTTGCTAGTGAACACACACAGACACATTGTGCTGAGTGCCCAAACTACAGTGATGATGTGATGTTAGATGTACCTTAAGTCATTGTCTACTTTATGATGATGCTATTAAAAGTCATAGTATTTGGAACAGTTAAAATTAAAAAAAAAAGTTATTTTCTCCCATTGAAGTTCATCCCAGGAGAATATGGAATTGTGAAATCCAGCAACTTGTGCATCTTTACAATTTATTACTTTCATTATTTATAAAATAAGATTTTAACTGTTATCTCACTCCAATGTAAAATGAAGCTAGAACTCTAAAAACTTTCAAATCTGAGTGATTTCACCTCTGCAAACAGCTGCGGGGCAGATACCTGCAGTCTGGGGGGATGTATCCAGCAGCCTTGTCCTGTCTGTCTCCTGAGGTTGTCCCCATGGCGTGGACAGAGGGCATCCCGGGCTCTCACTTCATAGTCAGGGCTTGTTGGGATGCCTCTGAGCACTCACAGGATGTTCCACCCCATCCTGCTCCACCTCATGGACAGAGCAGGGCCTCAGGGCTGGGCTATTTGAGCTCTGGATCTGGTGTCCATGTGTTGGACACTGTCCAGATTCCAGCCCTAGGGACCTTCCTCCAGAGGGACAAGTGCCCTTTTTTGAGTTGACTGTGTTAATTGGCGTCGTCCTGTAGCATATTCAGTGACCATTAGTACAGTGAGTGTGTCAGAGGCAATTTCGTTAGTGGTTTACACATCTATGGAAAGGAATGTAATTGTGTTCCAGGCTCCATCATCCTCCACTGACCCTGACATGGGGACCCAGGTGTGGCCCAGTTATCAAAGCCACTGATGAGCCATGTCCAATGGGAGCTGGAAAGTCACTGTCACCCACTGTGCGCCCTTCCTGGGGTACCTGAGAGATGGGTGAGGGGGATGGGGAAATGTGGAAAGAGGAGGGGGGAGGGGGAGGAGGAAAACCAAGAAAAAAAAAGAATTTGTTCATGTTACCCCAAATTATTTTTATTTAAATATCAGTTTAATTCAGTCGTATTCAACTGAATTTTGTCTTTATCTTAAATTTTCTCTTTATCCTGGCTGGGCTCTGTCTTTGACCTGTCCACATGCTGGTCTGTGGCTTGGGGCCTTAACCAGGAAAGTGGGGGACTTCCTCCCAGAAGCAGGTTCTGACCCGTGTGCTCAGAGGCCTACCAGGTCTCCCACAAAACACAACGGGGTTATTTCCACGACAGTCCTGGTGTTAGGGGGAAAGGGCTGTCCTGTAACACTGGGTGCCATGCACTGTCCAGCCCCATGTTAACAGTGTCCACCAGGCCAAGCAGATAGCAGCTCCAGGAAGATAGCACTGGTTCCAGAAGGAGGCTGAACTGGAAACCCCGGGGTGGGGTGGAGGACCCAGATCCAGAGCTGTCAGGTGCTCTTGGGCCTGCTCCCAAGACCCCACCGCAGCTGCATCTCTTGAACACCATGAAAGCCTCTGCCCACCCCCTTCAAGGACCAGCCAGCCCTGAAGACCCTGAAGAAACCAACGTTTCTAGACATGAGGGGCCACGTACTCTGCACCTATAGGTGCACCTGTGGGGGTCAGCCACAGCCCCGTTAAGAATCAGCTTAGCATTCAGCACCTGCGTCCACCTGCCCCAGTTGGCCACATGGGCTGACTGTGGCCACAAAAGATAGTTTTCTCGCCCTGATGGTGTCCCCAGAAGTGTGAGCTGCACTAGGCACACGGGCAGCACTGGCCAGTAGTCATGGTCACCACCGGTCACCGCGAGGCCAGGCAGCACGGGCCAGGGGTCACTCGTGCGAGGTCCCTCCTGGCCCCCAGAGGGGGCATCAGAGCCAGAGTGTCCACAGTTCTGGGGGTGTCTGGACAACACCCACACTCTGAGGCGCAGGACGGGCCTCGGGACGCCCTCGGCCAGCGGGGATGCAGGATGGACCCTAGGCAGCGTCTGGATAGGCTTTGGCTTCTCTTCGGCACCAGAGGGCAGCTCCTGGGGCTTCTTTACTCCCGTCAGCTTCTGGAGCCCCGCCCCGAGGCAGGAACACCCCTCCCCATTCAAAGCCAGTCTGCTCCGCAGCCTGGACCCTGACTTATATACTCTCCCAGGCTGCCCCGCCCACAAGTCTGATTGGACCATCATTCACTCCTGCAGCTGACTGGACCATTCAGCACCAATCAGCTCAAAGCTCAAAACTGATTGGTCCGTCCAGGATCAGGCAATGCATAAAGGGCGGTCCTGGGCTCTGAGGTGCGATGGCCAGACCCGTCCACGCCGCGCCCTGCTTGGCGCCTGGACCTGCCCCTGGAGTCCTGCTGCCCGGCCCAGACCGCCCTGCTACCCTTGGTGAGTGTCCACGGCCCCGCCCCTCTCTCCCCTGGGGGAGTGTCCATGGCCCCGCCCCTCTGTCCCTCGGGTGAGTCCATGGCCCCGCCCCTCTGACCCTCGGGGAGTGTCCACAGGCCCCACCCTTTTCTCCCTTGGTGAGTGTCCTCAGCGCCGCCCTCGGCCTCCACCCTGGGCCCGCTGACCAGGCTGGCGGAGCCTCCTCTGTCAGGCCGGTGCTGTGGGAACACATTGGCTGCGGGTTGAGTGCCCCCTTGGGGTCCCTGACCATGTGACCCAAGGACAGACCCTTCCCCCCCACCCCACTGCTTGGTTGTGCATAAATGTTGGTGATGAGTGAGTTCTAGAACATTCCTGCTGTGCCGCATCTGTTGTGTGCAACCAGAGCTGGTTTCCATCTGTGAACATCACGCTGGTGCAGGGTTGGCAGAGGGTGACACTCTTGGGGTGCTAGAGCGTGTGGAGAACATGAGGGTAGAAATTTCTGGCAAAGAAATCCTAATGTAAGAAGTCTGGGTTTTATAAATGATGACAAGTAAGAGATAGAGGGGAAAACTGAGTATATGAGGAGTTGTAATTGTAGATTGTGGTATCTCACTTGTTGGCATACTGGCCTTTCATCAGTCTCCCCACAGCCGACTTCATGGCTTGGTTCCTCAGACTGTGTATGATAGGATTAAAGGTGGGGGGGCACTGCTGGGTAGAACATAGAAATGACCAAGTCAGACATGGACGGAGTCCCTGAGCTCGGATTCCGATAAGCAAAGCATCCAGTGGAGAGAAACAGCACCACAACCAGCAGGTGGGGAAGGCAGGTGAAGTAGACTTTGGCCTTACCAAACACAGGTGGTCCCTGAAGAGCGGTTCTCCTTCCACCCGGGAGCCCAG